TTGCTCCTTGTGTGCAAAGGCCAGTTGAATATCTGTGGAAAGCAGCGCTAGACAATCGTTTGTTCCTTTGCTCTTGCGGAACCCAAACTGTGTATTTGATAGCAAGTTATTTGATTCGACCCAGTGATCGGGTCTCCGAAGGATCATTTTCTCCAACAATTTCCTAATGCACGAAAGCATAGCAATCGGACGGTATGAGTTATGGTCAGACGCTGATTTGCCAGGTTTTTTAATGGCTATTACTTTGACCTGTCTCCATTCAGGCGGTACAATGTTGTTTTCTAGCAAGGAATTGAATAAATCTAGCAAGCGTCTTTTAGCGATATCTGGGAGATTTTTCAGAAGATTGAATTTAATCATATCGCTTCCCGGTGAGGAGTTGTTCGATGAAAGAAGAGCCATAGAGAAATCCAGCATTGAGAATGGCCTATCCAGAGAGCCGCCGCTAGGAGACGCTTCTCGAAGAATATTTTGTGCTGGAACTGAGTCCGGACAGACCTTTTTAGCGAAATCGAATATCCATCGGTTGGAGTATTCTTCACTCTCATTGAAAGATGAGCGGTTACGCATGTTGCGAGCCACCCTCCACAAGGTGTTCATTGAGGTTTCTCGTGAGAGTCCCTCGACGAAATTGCGCCAATAACCGCGTTTTTTTGCTTTGATTAATTGTTTCAGCTTTGTCTCAAGCTTTGAATATTCCTCGAAGTAAGTGGAGGTTTTGTGTCTACGAAAAGCTTTGAAAGCATCAGATTTTTCTACATACAATTTTGTGCATTCTTCGTCCCAACCAGGTGTGGCTGGTCTCCTTTTAAAGGGTGCACTTGGAACTTTTCTTTTTTGTGCTTCCAGTGAGCTTTTGTAAATCAAATCGGCTAGGAATCGATATTCTTCCAATGGTGGAAGCGCATCTATTGATTCGACACCGATTGTCACCGCCGTTGCATATTTCTGCCAGTCGATGTTCCTTGTAAGATCAAATGGAACCAGAGATGGTTCTGCAGAGTGAGGGCCACACTTAATTGAAATGATGATTGGCAAATGATCGCTACCATGGGGATCATTGATAACCTTCCACTGACAATCCAATGATAGCGATCTTGAACACAAAGATAGGTCGAGTCGGCTTTCTCGAGCCGGAGGTTTTGCTATACGTGTCGCTTCACCAGTGTTCAAAATAGTCAAATTGAAATCGTCACATAAATCGTAAAAAATAGCCGCTCTATTGTCGTCATATAGATCGCCCCACCCAGTACCATGGGAGTTCATATCACCCAGAATTAATACTGGGGATGGAAGAATCGAAACTAGATTCCAGAGTTGACTACGGCTAATGGAGGTTCTTGGTGGAGGAATTACACTTGATTCTGCTTTGACATTTAAGCTACATTACACGGATATCATAGCCAAAGCTAACAGGCAACTCGGATTCATCTTTAAGATCTCTGATGAGTTTCGGGATCCTACCTGCCTGACAGCTCTATATTGCTCTCTAGTGCGATCGATCTTGGAATTTGGTGTAGTAGTATGGTGTCCGTATGAAACAGTTTGGATAGCGAGGATCGAGTCTGTTCAGGGGAAATTCGTTCGTTACGCTCTTCGCCACCTTCTTTGGTACGATCCTACGAACCTTCCACCCTACGAAGATCGTTGCCGACTACTGGGTATTGAAACTCTTGAACGTAGGCGGAAGATTAACCAGGCAGTTTTTGCAGCAAAAGTGCTGATAAGCGAAATCGACTCTCCCGGGATTTTGGCTGAACTCGAAATCTATGCACCTGAACGAGTTCTACGATCGAGAAGTTTCCTCTATCTCGGACCCCGTGCAGCTAATGACGGATTACATGATCCAATACGGTTCATGTCTGCCCGTTTCAATGAATTCTTTGTTTTTTCGATTTCAACTGCACAGTGGAAACATTTCGTCAACGGATTCAACGTAGTCTGCTGGATAGGTGACGATACGGTTCGACACATGCAACTGCTTTCAATCAGCAAATTGTTGCAAGACGGACGAGGTTATTTTTTTTATGATGAAGACCATAGTATTATTATTATTATTCGGTGTTTATTTTTATAATTGATGCGTTTTTCTGTATTTTTAATATTGTTCCTTGTATTTTGAAAAGATATGGGGTTTTTACGCCTATTTGCGCGAATATTTGCCAAATAGGCTTTTCCCCATCAATCTTCATTTAGACAACAAAAGTCCGATGAAGAGAATAATAAATAAATAAATAAATAAATAATAAAACCTGTCGATTTCGCTACCAGAGTGTTACAATCACCGATTTTATGATTCGTGAGCGTTCACTCAGAGTGAGCGCTCGCGAGTTGTAAAATCGCTGATTGTGACTATCTGAAAGCGAATTTGACAGGTTTCATGTGTCAAACACTTGCCTTTTAACCTCTTCTCTTCTCTAACAAGTACAACATATGATTAAAACATCTAATTATTTCAAAATATAGCATTTAACAGACAGTCGTCTTACGCTATGAGAGTAAATATAAATAAAAAAATAAATAAATTGAAAGGTAAATAAATTTAGAAGTTATTTTTTATAGAAACATTCCATTTGTTGAAACCCACTCGAAAAAGTGAGGTAAATTGCGAGTTGTGCGTAGTACGACGGAAATTAGATCTTAACCCTACGAACCTTCACTGCTTTTCCATACGCATGATGGAAAGTTAATTCATCACAGCGCACAATAGCTTGTATCGAGTATACAAACATTCGATGGCGTGACCGACAGAGGTACAACCTGCTGCCTCGACGACAGTGAGTGAATTGACTTCCACAGTTGTGTTGAGCAGGGCTCTATATTTTTGAAGCTCTAAAATGAACTCTTCTGAATAGAATCGAAAAACACATGCGTTTCTTCACGAAAGCATGGTACTGATTTCATACCATTTCTTATTGTTTATTGTTTATTGAAAAATTCAACTGACAATTACTGTCTAAATGAATAAAACTTAAACTAAATAGTTACGGTCAACGGTACGGAAAAGGCCAAGTAGCCGATGACGAAACACGTCAGCTGATACATTGAAGTCGAACATATAAAAAAAGTTGTTGAATTGCCGGCTGATTGCTCGAATTGGCTCGTGTTGTGTATAATTCCGGCTCCGTGGTTCCAAAAACAGAAAGTTGCGTTGACGAAGAGACCTCTCAGGGGCATACATATTTAGCTGTGACAGCAGTGTTGGGCAGTCAATGTCACCTGTAAGCAGCTTTCCAGCGAACATACTTGAGCGACCGTCCGTCTCACCTCTAATGGTTCGATTCCCAGGATACGGCAACGCTCCTCGTACGGTGGCAAGTTCGTTGGGTCACGCCAGTTGAGGAAACGAAGAGCATATCTCACAAACTTGCGTTGAACGGATTCGATTCTAGCGATCCAGCTAGCATGGAAAGGGCACCAAAGAACTGAACTTGACTCCAATAAGGATCGCACAAGCGAGCAGTAAAGTGACCTGAGACATAGCGGGTCACGAAACTCGTCGGCAATTTTGAAAATAAAGCCCAATTGTCGATTAGCTCTGGAGATGATGTCATTGTAGTGGATTCTGAAAGTGAGTCTGCAGTTCAAGGTAACGCCGAGATCCTTTATGTGCTCTACACGAGCAAGACAGCGTCCGTAGAGAGCATAGTCAAACATGATTGGTTCGATTTTTCGGTGATAGGAAATAATGTTACACTTTTCTATGCTTAGACTCATCAAATTTCTTGAGCACCAGTCAGCAAAAATACCTAACATATTCTGGAGATCCCAGCAGTCCGAGAGGCTTTTAATAATTTTGTAGATTTTCGAATCGTCTGCATAGAAAACGCGGCATCCTGATGGTATCAGCAAGGCGACATCGTTTAAAAAGATCGAAAATAGTAGCGGTCCTAGGTTACTGCCTTGCGGGACTCCCGAGTTGTTTGAGAAAACATCCGATTCCGACGCGCCAATCTTGACATGTACATAGCGATTCACCAAGTAAGATCTGAACCAATCCACAGTAGTTGACGAGATGCCAAGTATCTCCAGCTTGGCCAGCAAGATATTATGGTCCACCGTGTCAAATGCATATATCCATATACGCAGTATCGACTTGCCATCCTGAATCCATGCATCGCAGACAGTTAGAAGTGAACTGCACCAGGTTCGTGGACACGGAGCGCTTCGGGTAGAAACCGTGTTGTTCTGTATCGATATAATTTTTGCAGCGTGCGAACAGAGCACCATTTATGATAATCTCGAACAGTTTTGAGCAGGCACACAGGGAGGTGATTCCACGATAATTTATGACATTCCGTTTATCTCCTTTTTTGTGCACTGGGAACAGATAAGAAAGTTTCCAGCGGCAGGGGAACTCACATTGCTGTGCCGAGAGATTGAATAGCCTCGCAAGTGGAAGGCAGAGATTGGCTACACAACGTTTTAGAACTGATGACGGAATGCCGTCAGGTCCGGAGGCGAACGAGAGCTTCAGTTTGCGTGTTGCGGCTATCACCATGTCTCCTGAAATGCGCGGAATAACGAAACTAAACACATCACGTGGCATCCCAACAGCAGCATCCAGCACTTGTGTTGGCGAAGCGGAGAAATCGTTGAACACTTGCTTGAAATGACGAGCAAACAAGTCGCATTTTTCTTTTTCACTATTAGCCGAGTCATTCCCGAGAAACATGGAACAAGGCAACCCGGATTCCTTCCGTTTTGAGTTGACAAACGACCAAAAACTTTTCGGATTCGTGCGAAGGTTCGCTTCCGTGCGTCTCACGTGTCGATTATAGAGAAAACGATTGTAATTTCGATAACTACGACTCGCAAAATTGAACAGTCGTTTGTAGTACGGCGAGCGAGAGTTACAATACTTATGGAATGAATTTTCGACGCATGCTTTGAGCTCCATCATAAGACTAACTTCTATGAATATCATGCGACGTCTGGTGTTGGCGGTCGTTTGAATGTGATATCTTTCCACAAAAACAAGTTTACAAAACAAATAATCTATGTGTTTCTCGTTTTCATTTGTATTGATTTTGCGAATATTTCAATAATTGCAATAATGGTAAATATATGAATCTGGTAAATCTTACTTTTTTTAACATCCGTTGAACGTTGCATTAATGCAGACACTATTCGTTATGCTTTGCTTCTTTTAATATGTACCCTTTGATTTTTTTAACCATGGCTAAAATGAACCCATTCGATTTTACTGAAACTATCAATCGAAACTAAATTTTCCGATCCCAATTAAATGCACAACTAGCATTCCCAAGAATTGTGATAATAAAACTGCTTTTTAGTCACAAATGTTAGAAAGTAAAAGACCTTTACAACAAACTATCTACAACAATATACATGATGGATTCTCTTTTTTTTTCGAACGCTAACTTCTTAAAATAAAAGTCTTTCGTTTGTAACGCAGACGATTTTGTTTGCTCTAGATTTTCTCACTGATTTTTACGCCATAAAGAGTCTTTTTGCTCAATTGTACAGATATACGTGAGTGTGTAGGTATATAGCGATGCTCTAACCGAACGTTACAGTAGTTCACGGACATGGGTGTGGGTGTATAGCATTTGTTTTGTTCTCTGTCCTAGGGAAATTAAAATTAATATCACAAGAAATGACTATTCGCTAACACCGGGAAAACACGGTTACGACCACAGGTTTTACTGAAAATGTTGTGTTACTGCTTTGCGGCAATTTGAAACAGAATAAGGGAATAGAAAAAAAAAGTTTTGCTTCGGAGAAGGTGCACGTTCTACCTACCCAAGTAACCATCATTCCGGTAATGCAATATTATGCCGTGAAATATGACTAATATAAAAACTGAAAGCCGTATATTGTCCTTATATTACAAAAAGGACCCTTATCGGACTATTAACGGGGTTGGTGGTGACTTGGGTAGCGTTCTAGTGATTGGAAAATATGTTTTGCCTTTCCCGTATACTCGCCTTTTTCATAACTTGTTATAATCTAAAACGTTCCATGGGCCAATTTCTTCTCCTGCACTTAACTCTTAAATCAGGGCCAGGTGTCAGGTGTCAGGTGTTGACTTCCCCTAAAACTTGGTTTATAAATTAACTCCAGGTTAAGAAATTGTCCGTAATGGCTTGAATAAAAAAAAAAAAATACATAAAAACAATAAAATAACCGAACACCATCTCGTCGTAGCCTGTGTTCAATTGCCAATGTACATATTTGTTTCTGAAGAGAGGACTGCAATTATTATCTAGCTTGGACTTACAGGAAAGATACGAAAAGGAATGTGAACGAACTGGTAAAAATGCAATGAAAGTTTGTGCTAAATTGATAACTTCATACAAATATGGATAGCGGGTTGTCTATCCTAGAAGAAGAACAGTAGGTATGCAAAAGCGGTATCAGTTCATGAAAAGAATAGAGATGAGTAAAAGTAACAGTCATGGAAAATTTATAATTTTCCTACTAAGAAGTAAAACGTACAAAATCTTAAATTTTATTTGCTACAAGCAAGATTGTTTCAAAGTTTCATTCGATGGTGCCATAAATCGATGAATTTTCAACAAAGGAAACAGGCAATCGATAAAATTACAGACAAAATGTAGCTAGATTTATCCGTTGCGTTCCCGATTGAAAATGTAATTGCTTCAACATCGATTAGTACATCGAAACGGAACCGCTCATATGTACAACAGTGAGATGACATTGATAATGGTCAAGAAGTTTGGTCTGCTTGGTGATTCTTTCACTGCTAGCCGAATATTGACGGTAGAACTTGAAATTGGACCAAGCGAGCGAGATCACCGCCAGGTTCAACTCAAGTTGCAATATTCTTCTCAGTGAGTTTTAATTTGCTGGGTTATTGTCTTTATAACCTTTCCGAATTGTGTTCTTTATTGAATTGTATATAGTATATGATGGTAAAAACGAAACATTTCCTATTCACAGCTATCTGTAGCACATCAATTAAATATCTGGTTGTAACATTTTGTCGTCTGTTTTGGGTTTTGTTTATCGACTGCTTACTCATACAGGCTTAACGGTGGGTGGTTGTTTCTTTTCTATATGTTTGTCGGTGCTTTTGTTTCGCTTTACTTCCTGACTGTTGTATATATCTTTTTTTTAAATGCTGAATTCGTTACATCATTGCATCCAATTGCACACCTTTCACTTGTTTATGATGTCAACGATAATTTCAGTAAGCCAATTAAAAGTAAAACGATCATGTTTTAAATGCTTCCCAAAAACCATAACCGAAAGGAAGAAAAGCTTCTGCGAAAAGCGTATAAGAAACAACTGGATCGCGGGATGCGAAATAAATCAAATCCACACGCAAGCTCTTGTTGCCACCGCCACTAGAATGGATTCTCACCACAGCACTGTATGCAGTCCATGCAATTATGCTATCTTTTACCATCGGTTGCATTCATCTGCGCGTCGCTCAGGGCCGTTAGCTGGTTCTGCAACGAACGGATCGTATCCATGAGGGTGCGTTTCTCTTCCAGCAGGGTGCTAACGTCATCCTGGGCCGCCTTCAGGTACGTCCGAAGCACCTCATTCTCCTGGCGGGTTTTCACTCTAAAATAGATAGAATGGGGATTAATGTCCGAATTATGAGCGGGTTGGACAAAAGCGTATGGGTAATGAATAAGCAAACAACTAAAAGGAACATTCATAATTCAAAAGCATTTGAAATGATCGAATTCGAGCAACTTAACAGATCAGTAGCCGGTCGTGGGGTATGTTGGAGCGTGAATTTTTGATGGAACCCGTGATTATATTGTACTATCGAAACTAAAAAGTTCAACTTGGCACAAGAATTGATCACTTGTCACCAATTCCAAATGAAGTGGGCAACCATGCGCTCCTTTGAAATAGCATGAGAAGTGGAATGGAAAGCTATCAAACACGTGCTAATGATGCTAATGTGGTGATCAACCAGAGACTTGAACGTAACGTTAGACGAAAACCCAGTCATCTTTGCTGAGTAAAATGCTGCAACCTATTAGGCATAAATAGAAAAATATGAATCCTTCCTTTGCTCACAGGCCGCAGCAAAACACTTGCCATTGAATAGCATCCTCATCCCAGTCACCGTCCATACTCCAACGAACATGATCAGCAAGCGATCACTTCCCTGCAAGTTGTTCAATATTCTATGGACATAAGAGGCTGTTCATAAGATTAAACGATGATTATCTACTGCTAACCAAAAGCAACATGTAAATAGACAGCTAATTCTACAGAACCTCAAGGAGCTTACTTATTCGTTTCCGATGCCTTCTCGTTGCTACTCAACTGTTTCCGCAGGTTCTCGTTGTCCAGCTTGAGCTGCTGCATTACCAGCTGCAGCGATAGCACTTCCCGATCGCGTTCTTTTCGGGATTCATGGTCGGACCTTCGTACCACTACCGGATGCGAAGCTTCACTCTTATCCTGCGGTTGCAGGTAGAACACTCCGGCTTCGTCCCGGGTGATGAACATGCGGCCGATGGCCAGGTTTACCGGAAGCGTCCCGGGTGATGTGATATTCACCGGTGGACGATCTTCGATCAGGTTGATTCTCACGTTTTCCACCATTACCTCCATGGGAATGGGCATGGGGATGACCTCATCCTCGGCAAGGTCGGCAAGACCTACGACGGTGCTCATCGAGAGCTGCAGGTTGATCTTCTTCACCTCCACGTTGAGCTTCCGCTTGAACCAGCTTTCAAAGAACAAAAAAGGTATACAATTTAAATCAATTGGTAAAATACCATGCTTTGGGAAACGTTGCGGAGCAGCAAAAATTACCTTTGGATAGACTTTTTGTCTGTTATGTTGAGCGAATCAGCCGGTAGCGTGAGTACTTCCTCTAATCTAATTGCAACACAAGGCGGTGCTTCCGGATTATGCGGTGCAACGTTCCATGCTCTACATCTAGCTCCAAACTTGGTCTACGTGGCGGCCGGGGTCAGTTTCATTTGGTTGTCGTGTTTATTTTTATCATTGGAGGTTTTATTTATTTATTGTGTGGAGGTGTGTCGTTTTTGTGTGGATTGTTTTTTTTTATTCGATTAGATAATTTAGAAAGCATACAAATTCCGGTGGTGCCGATTCGTACGACAGTAGATTGTTTTTTTAAACCAAAAACATGATCGAAACGGAAAGAAGAGAATACAGAAAGAACCAAAATTAGTCCATATTAGAAATCAATTCGGACTTCAGCCAACTTAATCTAGACGACTCTTAATAAGCTACTAGAGAGAATCAGATCAGCAGTTTCTCGTAATGTACCGAACTTATATGAAAAAGGCTCAAACTGAAATCATCTTAGAGAGATAGGCAAGAAGTTCGAAAAAGAGAGCAACTATCTATTGTAGAAGGATTTTCCTACTCAATCGACACGGAACATTTAGATGGTTGAAAAAAAGTTGAATTAAATGTATATTTTGGATTACGAACAGTACCCATGCAGAATTAGAACCCTATCTACAAGTAATCTGTAACTGTTTGCTGAATATGTTTGAAACAAAATCAAAATCCTACAAATAATTAATTGCATTAAGGCGAAGACATCATATCAATAAGACTGGCAACTTTGCCAGAATCCAAGCGACAAATACAGTAGCGCTGCGCTTGAGTGAAGGTGGAAGCAACGCATAGAAAAAATGAACAATTACACAAACCTTTCTTCTGAGGATGTAATTTTAGCTATCAAATTTTTTCGAAGCATTTACCTTTGAGCGGCATATGACGCGATTGTACCTGTCTCATAGCGTTCGTATGAGAAAATAGAAGAGTTGTCAGTCATCTCGATATGTTGTCTTCGATTAAGGGCATGAGTGGAAGTTTTCTCCATTTTTTTTCCTACTTATGATTATCTCAACTGAAGTTTGTGCCATGTGAAACGGTTGTTGGTTATTTGGCCTAAAGTCAAGTGGCACAACGGTCATTTGGCATAATGCATACTATTTTGAATGAAAAAAACAGTGTAGTTTTATTGTTCTTGTTATTTTGAGTCAATATAATATGTATGTTAATATGTTAAACCTATTATGCCAAACGACCGTTATACTAAACGACCATTATGCCAAACGACTTCGGGCTTAACGTGGCAAAATCATGTGAAACAACCACCAGGACAAATTTTAAGATCTGGATGGCATCTAGATAATAAGATGGCTTCGCTTAATCTAGTCTTTAGCTCACTTGTTTCGCTTGTATAGTTGTTTATTTCTGGGAAAGTCAACTAAAAGCATAGCGTCTGCGTAGTAACATTTCAGCTCCATTTTAAAAAAATTTAAGAATCTTAGTTACCTGGGTTAAAACCAAACTCGATTCCATCTATTTTTAATGAATCTTTAATTAAAATGTCTCTCTTAAAAGGAATTCCCAGTTAAATCATATAGCATAATCGCATAATGGGTGGGTGAAAAATCGACTTAATCGACTGGCGAAATTCACTTTTGATTGAAATGAATAACAATCCTGGTACATTGTTTTCTGATATATGATTTCTACATAATGTCACTATTACTAAAAAGAACAAAAAGTAGAAATTTTTTCGCCACTATAAGCAAGGTTTGACGATAAATCGACCAGTTTTCAAAAATCTACATTCCACAATTGGTTTATCCACCACTTGCGGGAGAACATCTGTCGGATTTGATAGTGCAAACTAAGGTCTGTATCCACAATAATCCGGACACATCAAAACTTAAGTAAAACACAAATTTCGCATAATATTTCAATTGTAGTTGTTTATTTCAGATTCATGGGATATGATATGAAATTCACGAAGTCAAAACATAGTTATTCGGTATTTGCATAGCATTTTCGAAATAAGCGCTTAACTCCATTCATCAGGGTTTGTACAGACTTCTCAGGTACCGTACAATAATTGGTTTGTTCCGATGCGTTAGTTCATTAGCTACAACATAAATCCTGTGAGAACGCATTGTATGCAAATTTACGCTCATTGTTCTCAAAACAAAAGAAGCACTCCTAACGAATCCCTTTTTTTCTACGTTTAGGACGAAGAAAATCTAATGGCGTTTCAATGCGTTGGGACGGAATTGAAACTCGTAGAACGAATTTAGAATCAAGAAGCAGTATTAGATTTTAAACAATATCTCAACAATTTGTTACTCTTTATCAAATCTAACGGTACGTATGGAAAGGTGAATAAGTGACAGAAATATTCTTTTTTTTTTTGTTTAAACTCGTTTAGAAAAGAGAGGTAAAGCGCGCGTTGTGCTTAGTAGGACGAACATTAGATCAAAAACCGAGGGGTGCGACACGTCTAAATCTCGATTTTTCGAAAAATCTCACACTAGCGAATCAATTTATGAAAAATCTTTTTTCATCTCTTGCATCTAAACCCATCGGCTGAAGAACAACAAAGCAACTGGTGTAGATCAACTACCAAGTGAGCTATTGAAATACGGTGGTGAAGCACTGGCTAGAGCGCTGCACTGGGTAATTGCCAAGATTTGTGAGGAGGAGATATTACCGGAGGAGTGGATGGAAGGTGTCGTATGCCCAATCTACAAAAAGGGCGACAAGTTGGATTGCTGCAACTACCGCGCGATCACACTGCTGAGCGCCACCTACAAGGTACTCTCCCAAATTCTATGCCGCCGTCTGTCACCATATGCAAGAGAGTTCGTGGGGCAATACCAGGCGGGATTCATGGGTGCCCGCGCTACCACGGACTAAATTTTCGCGATTCGGCAGGTTCTGCAGAAATGCCGCGAATACAACGTGCCCACACATCATTTGTTCATCGATTTCAAATCCGCATACGACACAATCGATCGAGATCAGCTATGTCAGATTATGCACGAGTACGGATTTCCGGATAAACTGACGCGGTTGGTCAAGCCGACGATGGATCGAGTGATGTGCGTTGTTCGAGTATCGGGGACACTCTCAAGTCCCTTTGAATCTCGAAGGGGGTTACGGCAGGGTGATGGACTTTCGTGTCTGCTGTTCAACATCGCGTTAGAAGGTGTGATCAGAAGAGCTGGGATAGACACGAGTGGCACGATATTCAGGAAGTCCATCCAGCTCCTTGGTTTCGCCGATGACATTGACATTATGGCACGGAACTTTGAGATGATGGCGGAAACGTACATCAGACTGAAGGCTGAAGCTAGACGGATTGGACTTGCCATCAACGCATCAAAGACAAAATACATGAAAGCAAGAGGTTCTAGGGAAGACAATGTTAGCCTCCCACCCCGAGTTCAGATTGACGGTGACGAAATCGAGGTGGTCGATGAGTTCGTGTATTTGAGCTCACTGGTGACCGCCGAAAATGATACCAGCAGAGAAATTCAAAGATGCATTATGGCAGGGAATCGTGCCTACTTTGGACTCCGGAGGACGCTCCGGTCGAATAAAATTCGCCGCCGCACGAAGTTGACTGTCTACAAGACGCTGATTAGACCGGTGGTCCTTTACGGCCACGAGACCTGGACTATGCTCGTGGAGGACCAACGCGCCCTTGGTGTTTTCGAACGGAAGGTGTTGCGTACCATCTACGGTGGAGTGCAGATGGATGACGGAACGTGGAGGAGGCGAATGAACCACGAATTGCACCAGCTGCTGGGAGAACCATCCATCGTCCACATTGCAAAAATTGGGCGACTACGGTGGGCTGGGCACGTCGTAAGAATGCCGCACGACGACCCAGTGAAAATGGTTCTAAAAAGCGACCCAACAGGAACAAGAAGAAGAGGCGCGCAGCGGGCAAGGTGGATCGACCAAGTAGAAGGTGACCTGCGGACCCTTCGCAGACTACGAGGCTGGCGAAATGTGGCCATGGATCGAGTAGAGTGGAGACGACTTCTTCGGACAGCAGAGGACAACAAGGCCTTAGCCTGATTGGTAAGGTAAGTAAGCATCTAAACCCATCTACTCGCATCGCTCTTTACCTTTTTTCAGGAAATCTTAAAAATCATAATCAATCGTGTTTCTATCTATTAAGCACGAGTGCATCTCACAACAGCAAAGCAAAAAAAATTCCTGCATCTTAGATAGAGTCGCCCCCTTGTCAAAAATCCTATTCACTTTCAAGCAAGCTTTTATTGATTATTGAGCTACCCATATGATGAATTCTAGGATAGCTCAGATGGCAAGGCAAGCGGCTGGTGATCGGAAGGTATATGGTTCGAATTCCATGCAACGAACATGTATATGTATGTAATAATTTTCTAATTCTGTGTGGTGCGTGTTACGTGAGAAATAATGAAAACGATCACTAAGAAAAACACCCTTCCCGGCCCCCCCGTCTCTCTTATTTTCGGGCTAATTTTCCCGTTTAATAAATGTATAATTATGTTTAGTTAAATGAGAATAAAGTTCAAATAAATAAATAAATAAATAAAGTTCCAACCGAACCTTCAAGTTCCATAAAGTTCAAATAAAGTTCCGACAGAACTTTCAAGTTCCATAAAGTTCAAATAAAGTTCCGTTGAACTTTCAAGCCACATGAAGCAATCCGCACAAGCCTTTATTAGTAACAAAATTTAATGTACGTAAATATGAAATGATCAGTGGCCCGAATAAACCTCAACATTCAATATAAAATAAAAAAAAAGAGTAATTTCCGGGATTCGAACCCGGCATGCGATCTACGATTGCTAACCACTGCGCCACATGTGTGTTGGAATACCATGAGGGCAAACACCAATTTATATAGCCTTTATCAGCCACAAATAGCCTTTTATCAGAACTTTTGGTTACTTGGGCGGTGGCCAAAACCCGCTCTCTTGCGTTTTACCGGGAGTGGCTCACCAAACCAAGGTGCGTTGTTATGAAAGACGAGACATATATCAAGGCCGACACCAAACAGATGCCGGAACAGGAGTTCTACGAAGCAAAATCCAGGGTGGCCGTTTCTGAGACCGTACGGAAGAAGAAGCTATCAAAATTTTCCAAAAAAAATCCT